CCTATCCCCTGTGTGCCTTGCCTCCCACGACTAAAATAAATTGATCAGATTAACAATTTATTCCAATTATTTTTATAAATATTGTTTAACAGTCTTACAAAAGCGCACTCAATGGAAAAAATCATATTTCTATTAAAATAAGATTTACCAGAAAGACTCCTACAATTTACAAAGGCGTTTTGGTCAACTACTTTATCCAAAAGTATTTTCATATTTTAATCAAGTACACTCTGAGAAATTGGCATGCCCCAAATTTAATGTCTAAAATGATCTTATCAAATAAAATTTAAAAATAAAACACTCTGCATCATTCAATCAAAATTAGACCTCACAAGCTTAACTCCTAATATTTGACTTGAGAGCAAACAATTTAACCCAAAATTGTATAGAAATTGTGCAACATGCACGGGCAAGAGGAGAGTAGCAGTCCATGGGAATCGCAGAAAAGATAACCACAGGCACACATTAGACTATTAGATTGAAATGGGCTCCATCAATTCAGTATTAACTCTCAAATTTCAAGGAATTGGGCTTCGATCAGGACTATAGAGGCTGGATTTTCATGTCGAGTTCCATTCCTATATAACCTTATTAAAAAAAATATATTAAAAATATTCAAATTTCAAAGCAACAATATCCAAAACAACCATAGACAGATTAAAATGAATTTCCTATATAACCTTATTAAAAAAAAATATTCAAATTTCAAAGCAACAATATCCAAAACAACCATAGACGGATTAAAATGAAATCGACTGCTACAACTCACCATTCATTTCCAAAGCAGCAATCTACTAGCTAGCCCAACAAAAACTTCCTCCCCACAAAAGAAAACAGTTAAAAAGTATTACCAAAAACATAATATAATGAGACGGGTACAGCTTGTTTGTATAAGCCTGAGGCCCTAAACAATCAAAATATGACACCTTCGAATAACATGAAAGACGTCATTCAGCACCGAAAATCTTCATGATGGCCTGAAAATTTATTTTTATAAAAATTTAAATCTTCAAAAATAAATCAGCATCAAAATTTCTAGTAAATTTTTTAGATGCCCCTTAGTTTTATGGTTTAGGGCCTCAAACCTTATATAATTTTTTCCTTTAAATTTAGTACAAAGTCGAGTCACAAACAATCAAATGGCTATGTCCCATGATCAAAGATTCAAAATAAAATATCACTTGATCAAAGTTCTAAAGAAAATTTCACAATTGTGAAACACAAAAGGCTGTTATATTTTACCTTTGACGAATATGGGTGATTAGGACCTTGTCCTAGAGGTCAAAACTCGTTGTCCCCCCTCGTATCAAATGTCCGTCGGAATCCATTTGCAACAAAAATGGTCCCACAATAAAAAGAGAAAATTAAGGGTGCAAAATAAATATCCAGAAAAAAAAAGTCACTGATCACCATGGTCAAATTATTGACCTTTAAAATCCAAAATTCATCTCTAATATGAACTTTGGAGGGAGACCCATATAAATAGACGAGTCAGCTGGCTCACCGAAACCATATCCTATAATATAGGACAAAAATTAGGAATACCCATTGCCCAATTTCAAAAAATAAAGAGAAGTCTTGTCAAAGAAAATCAATAAAAGAAAAACCACAAAGTAACTAAAATTAATGGAGTGACGGTTCCAATTATCCAAAAACATGCCTCCATTCTCAAATCCAACCCATGCACTAATCAAAGGAACCAAAATCCCAACCATCCATCCATCACAATGTAAACACATGAGACAAGAGAAGAACAATAACCTTAAATAAATTATAACACAACCTAAACATCTCCACCGTTTCTCTCTCTCCAAACCATACTAAAAATTTTAAATTAAATGTCTTCACTCGTCACCTGGAGACTGGAAAGAGAGGGCTAAGAACCCACAATTTCGCTGGTCTCCAATGGTGCATCTCTCCTTTTTTACACCATTAACATTACAGAGGTTGTCTCTAGTGAGAGCAGTTTTACAGTAAAGGAAATGAAAACCCTAAATACCTTATTCATTTTATTTCCACGGCATATTGGGAACACCAGGTTGGTTACTATTGTTGCTTTGGTTAAGGGGGCTGCCAGGGCCACCACCTGAAGACTCGCTCAGAGTGCCCCTAGAGGGAGGGCTGCCAGTGGTGCCGGCGCCGCCCATGAGCTTAGATGGGGCCAAAGATGGGTCCTGCTGATTTGGAGTTTTAGAATCGGATTTCCGACCATCTGATATGAAACTGCCTACTACCACCTGTAAAATAGGAGTCGGCTAAGAGATTCATCTCTAGATAAACTAGTATACACTATCACAACTTGAGAGAGAGAGAGAGAGAGAGAGATTTCTGAAGTACTAGTTATACATGAGCATCACAGCACATAAGAGAAGATTATACACACATGCACGCATGGTTTGAAATGAACTAAAATGGCCAAATAAATATGCAAAACTTTGGAACATTTTTCGCACGAGTATCTAACACCTACTGCTATAGTTTTGCATATGTAGGAACGTAGGTTAGAAGCCACAATACCGCATTAGACATCAAAAATGAAAAAAGGAAACTATCGTACAAATTAATGAAGAAACATAATAGAATTGAAAGAAAATGTAGCAGTTCAGCATGGGCAAGCAAAGAAAGTACCTTTTCTCTTTGCAGTGTTACGACTCTGCAGGAACTTATTCATGCTAGAGATTCACAAAATTAAACTCATTCATCTGGGAATTTGAAACACAAACATTTCCATTATTTTGATGGAAATGGTTATATTGTGAATTCTTTCTCTTATATATGGGAATGATTATATCCTGATTTCCTGAATACTTTTCAATAAAATATCCTGAACATTTTTGTCAATTACAAGTCCATAAACAAACAAATAGATCTAAAACAAAGAAATTAAGTGGGTACAACAACAGCAATGGAAACAAACCTGCACAGGAGTAGCAGCCATTAAAAGTCCAGCAACCCCACCACCAAGAACACGGCCATCAGGTCCAGCCAATGACACGCTCAATCCACCAGTACGGCTACGTTGGCCCCCACTCTCCGAGAGCAGAAATGAGCCAGACAGAGAAAGTATTTCAAAGCGTCCCTGAAATAAGAAACACCAAAAACAACATCAGTGCCCAATAAAATTTAATTCCAATTATTTGATATTCCTAGATTCTATATTGTGACTTTTGGTTTTTGACGTTCCATTTATCATGCCATAATTGCCATTGGCTTTTACCATGCTTTTCTTTTTTTATTTCCCTATATCTACTGCTTGACAATGGTCAACGATTTCAAAGCTCAAGAAAAGCAAGTATCATGTAACCCAATCAGCTATGGGAAACCATAGTCTATAGAGTCATCTTAGTCCTATGAATGAAGGAAAGAAACGGAGAAAGAGTGGGACCCATTATTGGTGACATGTCCTGTTTTGGTGGGTCCCTTTCTCTCCAATCTCCATCACCATTTGTCTTCCCCCCCCCCCACTAAGAACATACATAGTCATTCATCATTTCACTGGACAATGATGACCAAAATGGACTATGCGTACACAGTCGCTAGAATTATTAGATTTATAGAAAAATTTGCTAACCATCACATGCACTTCATACACAAGTTCAAGCCATATATGCATGCTGCTAATCTCAAGAAATTCAATGCTTTAGCAGGAACCTTTTCAAGAGATGGTAATGTTTGGAATTTTGGATTAACAGACCAAGTTCTGTTAAATCAATTTCTTTACATGATCCAACCCAAATAACAGATGTATTAAATGGGGTCAAAAGCAATTGTGCAAACAACAGAGACAAATCATGCAAAAGAATATAGTTATCATAAATTTTAGCACAAACCTCATAGGTTACAGTTCCCCCAGATGTTGCAGCTTGACGGAGGGTTACATTAGAAATGGCACCATTAGCCGAGAGAATACAAACAGCTCGTGGCCCTTGCTGTGAAAATGACATTATCTTTGACGCCACATCCTAAAAAATGAAGATTTTGATAAAAATCTCATTAATATATAACCAATTTTAAATTAAAACAAACAGCAAACATCTGACTTTATATTACTGCTACAAGCACATCTAACCACTTTAGTATAATTGCTCAAAAGCTACCCTAGGTAACATACATGATATGATCACCAACAAAAAAAATTTCACTACATGCTATAACCCAAAACCATTATAGCTCCACATTTCATGGATAGAAGTCTGTCCGATTACAGCCCCCAATTCTGATCTTGCTAATTATCTCCTTGAGATAGGGACAAGACCAAGGTCTCCAAGCATATAAATAACTACTACATAGAAACCCATCCAACCAAAAAAAATAAAATCACTCTTTCCATATTTGTTTTCAGTTCACCCCTAGTTTCTACAAATAATTTTGTACACCTATATCTATTTTAGGCATTTTATTTATGGATAGCAGAGTCAGCAGACCAAAACAATCGCTGTAAAGTTGAAAGATTCTTAACCAACTAATGTGAAAGGTTGAATCAAAACAACAGTTTATGTAGGATTCTTATCAATACAGCACAACCTACATAGAACAACTACCACAGAAATCAGAAACTGTGGTCTGCTGCATCTGCTTCTTTCAAGCGAAATGCTCCTATCAATAAACAGAGCCCCAAAAAATGTACACATAAAGGAAAAACCGTAGAATAATGTATAATACTGTAATTAAGGTCCTTTTTAAATTAAATGGTCTAATACAATGCTAAATAATTTAATCTAGCTTTTAGAAGCCCGATTACTTGTGTGATTGAGAACTGGAGAACCAATACAAGAGCAGGCATCCATAACTCTGTATAAGGTAGTAGGAATCTTCCGCAGCAAAGATTCAACACAAGAAATTTAGTAGCAGAATAGCAATGCATCATAAGATATATTATTAAATCCAATAGATTCTATTTCACAGTATAATTTAATTCATAATAGTGATAAAGTAGATCATCCCTATACCTGAAAAAATAAGAAACATGGCAGCTCAAGAATGCCGCACAACAATACAAGTTCTCAATTTACTTCTCATTTCTGGACTCTTAGCAACATGTCATGTCCTTTGTCTCTCTACAATTCATCATGTGGCTTTAATTTTAAACATTATACCATTTAGATTTTTATAAGTAGATTTGCCAAAATGCCTACAAATTTAGATTTTTCCAAAATGTTAAGAGACTCATGCCTGCCACAGGAAATTTTTATTTATGTGAACTCCTGATTCTTTGCATATAATTATGTGACTCATAAAAGTTATTTAGGTATGAAATAAACACTGAAGATAAATACGTTGTGAAGTTCTAATTATCTTGACTAGTAATAAATGAAATTACAAAACAAAGAGCACCCAAACTAATCAATTGGATTAGATAAATTTTAAGCTCTTTATATATCTGCAATCTTTTTTCAATCTTTTTTTCTTTTTGACAGAAATATATATTTGAAATCATCTCATATGATTGTTATTATGTTTCAGTGTTTTTGAATATTGGTCAACTTACATTTTTTAACTAGAATTAAAAAATCTGTCAAGTCACGAGTTTCCTAAACATACCACCCAAAAGCTAATTCTCGCAGCCATGCATTTTTATGTAATTTTCAGATAATGCCATATCCACATTAGAACTATGCACTCCACGAGTATAAAGGCAGGCAAAATAGCAGTAATTTAGTAAATAGCTAATTATGTGTGTACATGACAGCCATTTTATCTAAACTTAAAATAAATTTCACAGTTACAAATCTGCAAAATCCAACCCGAAAATTATGGGATAAGACATATGTAGCTTAATACTTGCTAACGAGTAATGCCAACCATGTTGCTGCTTTTATGATAATATTATTCCTCCCATGGACCAACTTCTGCATGTAAGTATAATGAATATTAAATTAGTGCTAATAATAAGCAGAATCAATACTTTCCACAAAGGCTTGAAATGTATCAAATTTTATGTTTCTCAAATAAGGGGTGTCCAATAACAAGCATGAAATGGATTGACATAAATATATGAAGCATAATCTTCTTTACACTGTGATTTCTTAATCGACAAAATTTCTTCCATGAGAATAAAAAGATTCAAATAAATTCAACAAAATAAATGGTGTCCCAATGCCAAGCACAAACCACAAAAAAAAATCCCACCTGTTAAAAAGTGCCCCAGTCTCAGAGGCTCAGAGCATATAAACACCAAAATAAATAAATAAATAAATAAATCCATAACACTATGGCAAGAGTCTAGCAATGCATGGCATACTTATGATATGAAGCACACATCATAGCAGCTCAGAATCATATCAGCTAAGCATCCCATATCAAACAAAAATCATAACAATCCTCACAAATGAAGACAAAAAACAAAACAATTTTTTACCTCCCCAGTTTTTACAGTGATAACATGTGGCATAAACCCAACTCCAGCAGCTCCTGCAAGAAACCCCCCTTGTTAGAGAGATACTTCTTTCAATTTCTTTTCTCAAACAAGGAAATAAAGTAAACAGCTCAATACTAAATTGATAGCCAGAACAAGACAAAAGTAGTCAAAAATAGTTGATGATTATGACAAGTGATATCAACAACAACCACAATAACAACAACAAACTTGACAATAACAACAAAAATATCAATATAACAATTATTTAATAGAGTACTACAAAAGAAATTAATTTCCAATAAGAACATCTACCTTGATGAATTTCAAAGAATTAAATTATAAGCAACCTTAACTGAAAAATAAGTTGAATTAAGCTGCTATTGCAACACCAACCACTTGTAATGGAAAGTGAAACACTGAGGAATAATTAACAATGCTTTCTCAATTGCTGTTCGCACTTTGGAATAATCAACAAATTTGATGATGTCTTTAATCTTCTTTCAACAAACTTGAAAGAAGATTATGTGCCTTTGAATAGTAGCTCTCGTTTAATAAACAATAAAAAAGTTCAATATCAATTTAAATTCCTATCTAACTTTTCCAAATATTAACAGACAATTTATGCCAATGACTTTAAAGCTCAGTTTCCTTGCTAACTTGAGAAAGAATCCCATAAGATTAAGCTAGAAACGAAGAATTTCACCAGTGCAACAATTGGCCATCAAGAAAAAATGAATGCAGCTCCAAAAGAAGCTACTGTTGATGTGTTGATTCCATTTTTATTTTTTTTTGAGGAAAAGGTTAACTTGTTTATTCCAACTTTAGGATGTCAGTATCATTAAAACTCATTAATAGAGGAGCCACATATAATTAAGCCACAAAATCATAGTCCAGCTTCCCAGAATTATGACAACTAAAATCAATAATAATTTTTCGCATCAAAAAATCTTAATGAATAATATTTTTAACAAAATAATAAATTACACAAAAACAGTACATAAGGACAAGTTAAATCAATATTCATTTTACAATTTTACAAATAACTAGAACAAATTTTTTTTAATATTCCTCTCTTTGGTTTCAAATTAGTACCAACACAGCTATAAACAGATAAATAGAAGGAAAAGGTATATCAATGTCATTGAAACCCCATCATTCCATTTCAAAAGTGCTCACTTTAACAAAAATACAAACTTCATGATTTCCTTTTTTTCTGAATTATCCAAAACCAAAAATAAATAAAAAAATTCCTCCCATATTTCTCCTATCAAATCAGCACCAGCATCGAATTTCCAACAAAACTACAAAACAAAACAACATACACAATTGATGATTTTTGCATTTTTTTTATTTTCCAAAAACCAAAGAAATCCCACCATATTCTTCCCTTTATCAAAGTAGCCCAAAATTGAATTTCCAACAAAACTATAAAATGGAAAAGAAAAAAAAAAAAGAAAAAAAAAGGGCCAAAAAGACACAAACTTCTTTTTTTCTTCAAAATGCCAAAAACCCAAGACAAATTTCACAATATTCTCCATTTATCCAACTGGCATCAAACTGAATTTTCCTACAAAATCTATAATAAAAAAATAAGAAATAAGAAATAAATAAAAAAAGAGAAGAAAAAGAAAATAACCAAACAAACAAGAGCGATATCCCATAGGCCCAACACTTCATTTCCATGAAGTGACCCCATAAAGCCCAACAATAACTATACAAGAAAGAAGCAAACATAGCTCAAGCATTAAAGGCTTAATGCCACAAACGCCCCACCTTTGCTACCACAAGATCCACATCCAAAACAAAGTGCTCTGAACATATATACCCGACTGCATTAAAAACCCCTCACATGTCACTCCCAATCATCAAGCCAAAAGAAACAAAACCAGGCATCCCAACAAAGAAAGAAAGGCATCAAACAAGCAAAACCAGGCAAAAGGGAAGAGAGGCAGAGGCATCAACCAGGCATCAAAACAAAAGAAAGAGAGGCACCAAACAAGCGAAATAAGACATCAAAACAAAGAAAGTTAGGCACCCCAAGAAAGGCAAGATCTCAGATTCGGGGAGGGAGTACCCAATGCAGCCAGCTGCTGCTTCTTTCCTGAACCAGGTGGCCTACCCCTGGCCTTCTTGAGAGAAGAAGAAGAAGGCGAACCAGGAAACCCTGCTGAAACTGGAGTAGCAGGAGTTAGGGCAAGGGCCATAGTCCCATCAGGTCCATACTTTCTAGGTCTTCCTCTCTTTCTCTTAAGGGGCTCGCCCATATTCATGTTAATCCCACCATGCTGAACCATTGTAGAGCTCGTATCCCCCTGATAGGGTGGTGAATTTCCTGTAACTGGTTTGTAAACTGCAGCTCCATCAGAGCTGAAAGCTAATCTCATGTTGGGTGCAACAGGCGGTGGAGGTTGAACTGAGCTCTTTTGAAGGGTTACACCATATGACTCTCTGGTTGCCATGATTCCAGTCTCAGAAGCTCCTATTTGACTCTTTTCTCTCACTTCCATGCATGGGTTTCACGTAACGAGTTGCAGAGGAGTTCTTAAGTTGACTGGAAACCCAGGAAAAAGGACTCAAGCTTTGGAAACCTATGAAAAATGCTCCGAACCCAGAAACCTGCTGCCTTACAGATAATGGAGTACGATACGGAGTGGAAAGAACTCGAAAGCGCTGGCCTTGAAGCCTTGAATGAAGGAGTATCAGGAGCTGTAAAGAAACAAAGAGCAGTGATCATGTAAAAACCATGAAGGAAAGAAAAAAATGGTGAGAAAAAGGTAAAACCTTGGCTCAAAATAAATTGAGACAAGTAGAGCACTAACACCATCTTAAAACCCTAACTGGAAATAGACACAAAAAAAATGTACAACCTTGATGGAAAATCTACGCAGAGAACACTGAAAATTTAGTTTGAAGCCAAAAGGGCAAAAAAAAAAAAACAAAACTTAAATGAAAACCCCAAAAAAAAAACACTTAAACCCTAACTGAAATTCAAGAAAGCACAAAACTCCTCCGACTGAACTTGCGAAGAAGACAAGAAACAGACCAGAAAATCCACACAAAACACACTGAAGCCCTAACTCACAATCTAAAACCACAACAAACCGAAACCTAAGAGGGAAACCTAAAAGCAAACCAAATTTTCACAGGTGATCCTTAAAAAACCCTAAAATAATTTAAATCAGGAAAAAATCACCAAAAAAAAAAAATCGCTTTTTCGAGGAAAAAACACAAACCTCTCCTAGATCGCGCGAAAAAACCACACCAAAACCCTAAACCCAAAAGAAATCAACGTAAATCACAAAAGCACGAGAGAAAAAAGCCTTAAATCCGATGATTTTGCAGTCGCCGAAAAACCAGCAATAAATATTCGAAATTTCCACAGTAGAAAAAAGGGTAAAAAATGGGAAAAAAAAGGGAAAGAAAATCGAAAAAATTATGGAAAAATCAAGGGTCTCACCTGCTAAAAAACTCGGACCAGAGGCTCTAAAAATTAGGGTTTGTAGAGAACGGGAAGGTTTTTTCCCCTCTTTTTTTAATTTAATCTCCTTTTTTAGGCTTCTTCTTTAGGGCTTTTATTTAAAAAGCGGGTAAAGCAGGCCGAAATTGCTTTCGTACAAAATAAATAAATAATACCATTATTAAATTAAATTAAAAACTAAATGCATTAACCCTAACGCCCAAAGGGCAAAGGCTTATTTATTTATTTATTTATTCGGTTTTCCTTGCTTTTTGCGTGACTAAAAATAAACTTCTTTTTAGGAATATTTCGTATTGCCAAAAGTTATTGGTTTAATATTTAGCTTACTTTATATTTTTATGAATGAAGTTTTCTATGAGACCTAAGTTTTATGAAAACCAAATAAAGCCTCGTCTCAGTTTAGAAAGTATTTTCGGCAAATAAATCAATTTTCAATATCGATAATAAAATTTGAAACTAATAAAAATGTACCAATTTTTTGGATCTTTGAATACTTATTTTTAAGAAGAAATAGACCGTTTAGATAATTTGTTATTTTTTCGACTTTAAATCTTTTTTTTTCAACCCTAATGTTCAAGCGATGACCGATTTAAAAGTTTTTCAATACTTGAATTAATATTTTTGATGAGTTATTAGCGAGGGTTCATTTATTTTAATAAAACTTATCAAACTATTTTTTATTTTTAAATAGTATTCTACATAATATTTACAGAAAATTATTTTAATAATATTATTTTCCTGAGTTTTTAACCCAGCTTTTTCATTATTTTTCAATTGATTGGCGAGTTTTTGGCTTTGAGTACGGGTTGGTGAGAAAGGTAATCCTGAATAGTTACAATAATGGGATATACTTTTAATTGTGAAAATTATGAGGAATCTCCTTTTCATATATTTAAATTTACGGAAATTATGAAGAATTTATTTTTTGTGAAATATGATAATATTGCCATTTTGGAATTTGCGTGAACTGGGGTTTTCTTTTTATGAAATTTCTCTTAATTTTAATATATAAATTTGTTAGGCATAGAAAATGGCTGATAAATTAGAAATTTCATGTATAATTTCCATGATAAGTAAGAATATTTTCTATTTCCTAAATATGGAAAATAGCTACCTAATTAGAAATTCCTTGCATAATTTTCCAAATAAACATGAAAATATTCGTTTAAATTGGGCATTAATAATAGGAGATATGGATGATATGAAATCTCATAAAAAAGGAAAATTTTGAAGAAAATGATATTTTTCGGATTTTAAAAAAAATTATTAAACTAAAAATAGCAAGGCCGCTCGCACGCGTGTTGCTTTGCATGTCGGATGGTAAAAACAAGTGTTTAAAAAAGAGGAATCGGGTGCCGACTATGGTGCATGCCACTCGCTGGTACCATTGTGTCCCGAATGCCGAGTGGGTCGTTGTACTTATAGAGCGTTGCTCCTTTTATTAATGAAATTAATAGTTAACATTAAAAAAAAAAATGAGCGGGTCGCTTAAATGGAAAAAATGAACAAAAAAATTCAAATTGCCTTGACTTCAACAGTACTTAAGAATTGCCCAAATCCCTACCTATTAATTAAGAAACTTGGGCAATTCAACTATTTTGACACTAATTGTGACTTGTACAGGTCTGAGTCGACTTGAACAAGTCCATTTTGAATTATCGATTTTTCAACTAATAATGGAAAAATTGAGCAAAATATGAACCATCCAATTCAAGTATTATTTGTCTTGAAACACTCATATTAACTGCATCAATGTCATTAGCTTTTCTCTCTTTTTATTTATTTAGTTGTGGCATTAACTTAACTAGGCTGCTTAAGTGAGTTACAACTAAGCAAGAAGCCTTGAAGACATGGCACCTTCCTTGCGAGAGAACTCATGAGAGAGAGAGAATTAAATAAGGCTAAAATAATACTCACTACAGTGCATAGTTTTGCAGGCAACACAAAATTTGTTATAAAGAAACCAACATTTGCCTTAGCTTCAAGGAAAATAGCCATTAGATGGAGAAACTAAGAGCATGGGAGGGCTAAGCCTCTCTTGAAACATTAGACTTATGCTCCAACTGTAATCCATAAATAATATTGATTGGTGTCATATAGAGAGAGAGCTTGATGTGTAGTGATGGAGAGAGAGGGTCAGTTTGGGCTTTATTGGATATGCTAGTGTTTTTTTGGCTCCGTATATTGTTAGTGTTTGTTGACATATTAAGGACACGACACTTGTATCAAAAGATATATTTTGTAAAGAAAATTATAAAACTAATTTAAATTTTAAAGTCGTCTAATATTTTAAAATAGGTTTTATTTAAATGATGTAAAGACATATGTTATGTCTAAAAATTTAACTGTAAGATTATTGCTTTTGACATCAACATCCATGTGAGAGTAACTTTTAAGTTCTCTAGGAGAATATTATCGTGCCTAGCAAATTTCTCTCTTCAATAATTCATGTTAAGATGCAAATACATGAACTTATTGAAATTTAATTATTAATTCTTACCAACAAATGCATATTAAAAAGGTAAAAACCCTAATCTATTATTATTTCTTCTTAATATCGTTCAAACACTAAATGTTCTATTTCAAAAACTAAATGTTATCTTTTTAAATTTTTAATGTGTTTCACCTAATACCAATAAATGTGGTACTATTTATTTTGAAATTTGAAAATTTTCAATTAATTTTGTTAGTCCATTTGGCAAAGTGGGTCACGGATTTTTTTTCCTCCATAGTAATTATTTATCTCAAGAAAACAATAAAAAAATTTATTAATTTAAAAATAAATTTAGCTTTATTGGTCATAAATTCCGGCTTTGGACCACACGATCAAGTAGGCCACAGTTTAAGTCATTTTTCAAAGATTTGATAAAAATAATTTAGGGAATCTTTTCAGCATTGAAGAAAAAGACGAACAATAATGGACCCCCTCTTTTTTACAGCTGGAAAAATCCTATTCTTTCACAATTACCAAAAAATAAAGAAAATTAATTAAGACATTATTTTATTGAGTAATTTATTTGAGAGAGAAATGTATAAAGCTCAATGAGAAAGTGTACAAGAAAAGGCCAACAAAAATACCCATTATTTAAGTAGAAAATGAGGAAACCGCATCTTATAATAATTTTATTCCATGATTTTGTAGTGAAAATCAACCGTATAAATGTTTGTATGCTGCTATACACAAATTCCATTTTAATTCCTTGATATGTTGCAAAACCCAGATTAGTAGAGTGGATTGGTTGTTGGGTTGCCAAATTGTTGATCTGGATTGTTTTGAATCGCTGATATGGAAACACAGTAAAATAAAAAAATAAAAAATAAAAAAATAAAAAAAAGTGGTTTATGAAGGGATTTACCAGATACCTAAAAAAATATTAGACAAGTATAAAAAAAAAATATATTTAGATTAATTATATCTCACCCCGGTTGCCACACTTATTCATTATAACCCTACATTAGCACAAATTTGGAGTCTTCAAATTATTTGTGGAGTGCAGTGTTTATGGGACTGCGCATTCACAATATTAAGTAAGTGGTACCCCCTTACGGTTGCTTTGCAAATACAAATTTGTCCATGAAATGATGCAGATCTTCGATATTAGCAGTGATAGATTGGTTTTTGAGCTTGAAAAAAAAAATTTATTTATATTAATGATCACCAAGGTGGAGATGATCAACTTGCTAGCTTTCTAGTGTCGCAACATCATTTTCTAATTTATAGAGCCCATGGGTTTTATATATAAAACAGGTATTAAATCATCGGAGAGGGAAATATAGATCCATCTTTCAGCAGCTCTAAAAACAGTGTCGATCTGATGACTTAAATACAGTTCTACCAAAGATCCATCTTTCAACTCAAAAAATAGTGACAATCTAATGACTTGTAAAAAAGTAAAAATTAACAAAAATTAAAATCTTTTTAAATTTAAAAACTATTTTGATTTTAAAATTCAAAATCGATAGGCCTTATCGGCCCTGAAAATTTGGATCCAAAATACGTCTATAAGATCAATTTAGAAGAGGGACATATATAGACAGGTACATCAACTTACACACATAGGAAAAAGAGCCTCGGCTTAATTGGTCAGCCCTTGACGATTTACGACGTTACATCCTAAACTCAATTCCTACCAAAACCAGGGGTTGGGGCCTCTCCACTTACCCACTCAAATAAATAAATTAATAAAAATAATAAAAAAGAGAGAAAAAGTATAATAATCTGGCCAAACCCACCCCAATACGAAGTGTAGAAGGAAAGGGAGTCCAAAAAGATAAGCCTAATGAGGGAACCAAATCTTAATTCTTTATTCCTCAAAGATAAGCCCAAATTTATAAATTCAGATTTATTCAAAAACCTTATTTTATTCTCCAGAAAATGATTGATTAACATGTCCTAATTATCCAAAGCTATCATGGCTATTTCATTAAATAATTTAAAAAGCTTTAATAAAATTCGTCAAATAAAGCTCTGAAAAAACAAAACAAAAAATGGTTTTTACTTATATGCGACGCAGGTGACGCTGGCTTTAAAGAATGCACTTGTCACAAAGTCAAGGTCACCTGACAATATAACTTTTTTCAATTTGAAAGGGTAAGATCGTGCTCCCGAGAGAGCACAGTGTACGCGTACTTCTTCATCTAAACAACTGCACGAGAGGCTTTTGACTTAAAGCTTTGTAATGCATTTTAAAATGGACCCGTTCTATGCGGCCAAGCCCGCCGCATGTGTAGAAATGTAGGCCTATTAATAAATTTATTTTTGAGATAGATGTTTTGGCATATTTTTTAAAGACAAGTAATCTCTAATATGGAGATCATGGAATATGAAAAAATAAATAAATTTTAAAAACTAAACATAATAATTCAAGTAAGAAAACATTTAGACCATTAATTTCCATTGTTTTTAGAAGGAACACCCACTTCCATATATTTTTAAGATGGATGCTTTACATTTTTTAGACTGCATATGTGGGCATGTGGTCGAGCCCGCGTGAAACAATTTTCTTTTTAAAATTACCCCAATTATAGATTATCAAGGAAGGAGAAATTAGATTTCTCGATTCGACTGTCCAAAGATTAAACATTCACTTTCTACATAGCATATGATTTTCTTTTTCTTTACTGGTTTTGAAATTAGTCATTAAAT